GATAGCAGTGATCAAGTGCTCTTCTAACAAGACTTCCAGAAACTTGTAGACCCAATCAATATCTTAGAAATTAAATCCCATACACACTTAGTCACATAAGCATGTTATCACATAGCATGCCAGGCAATTCTTAATATCATCTAACAAGAGAACCCATTGTGGTAATAACCACTTCCCACGATCCCAAAATATTCAAACCCGGTAGTTCTGGTACCAAGTTGTAACGCTCCAACATAATTACAATAAACCGAGAGTAATAAATAACTAAACAACTCTATGATCCTAGGATAATGCACTTTCATTTATATACCCCAAGCGTACAAAAGAGTATCACATGCAATTATACGTTCATAAGCCCTAACCCTGAATCTATAGCATGTATTATAAACATCAGATAAGAAATAAAGTTAAACAGATATAGTAATGCCCTATTGGCTACAACTTTCCAAGACGGTGCTTGGTTACAATAAAAGTGAGTTTAAACTCAATACAAACAAAGCCCTAAGCTTATATAAAATAAATACCAAAAAAAAAAAAAAAAAAGCTCTTGACTCCCAGTCCTCCCAAGCTATTGCCTTGAGGGAGGCATATCATCTGTACCTAAAAATAGTTTTCCACATAGGTGAGCCAAAGCCCATTAAAGATACCCTAACGCAGTGTATGAATCTTAACAGAGTTATAAGATGAATGTATCTGCAATGCTCGTGTCAAAACATTTTATATCTCTTTTCAAAACCATGCAATACCAAGTTTAAATCTCGAAATTATGAATTTATTTCCTGTACAATAGAAAATAGGACAGTGGATAGGCTACAACTTTCCAAGACGGTGCTTGGTTACAATAAAAGTGAGTTTAAACTCAATACAAACAAAGCCCTAAGCTTATATAAAATAAATAAAAAAAAAAAAAAAAAGCTCTTGACTCCCAGTCCTCCCAAGCTATTGCCTTGGGGGAGGCATATCATCTGTACCTAAAAATAGTTTTCCACATAGGTGAGCCAAAGCCCATTAAAGATACCCTAACGTAGTGTATGAATCTTAACAGAGTTATAAGGTGAATGTATCTGCAATGCTCGTGTCAAAACATTTTTTATCTCTTTTCAAAACCATGCAATGCCAAGTTTAAATCTCGAAATTATGAATTTATTTCCTGTACAATAGAAAATAGGGCAGTGGATACAATATTGGGAATCTCTAGGACGTGTCTACAAGTAGGCTACAAGCACTACTTATTTGTCATTTTTACCAGTATTAACCAGAAGGCTTTACACCTAACCGTGCAAGTTTTTGAACTTTCACCAAAGGCACGCATGCCAACATAATAACACAACTACACTCCTACCTAGATTCACCAAGGTATTCACCATTTTTTCTCAAAACAACAACAATTTCAATGTGTTAAATATGTTACAATGCTTAATGCAAATGGATGACAAAATAGTTTCGATTCACCTAATTCTCATGCAATTTCTACAACAATCATAGCTATCCTTCATCGATAACCCAAAACAGATATTTCTAAATAGATAAATAATTTTGAACACATATATACTTTCCAACATTTCCAAAGAGGGTTGATAATTCATATCCAACTCCACTACCATCATCATCATTGTTCTAAGTCCATAAAACCAAAGTCAATTCCATTTTCTCTTTACAAAAATCAAATCCCCACAATTTAGGGCAGAAACCCCCTTTTTTTAAAATCAATTTCCATAGATAAAATCCACCATTTATCACAGCCCAACCATTTTTACAAGGCCACAATCATATACAAGAGCCCATTTTGAAAACCTATCTTTTGATTTCAAAAACCAAACTCTAGGTTTATCCAAAAATCCCCAAATCACTATCTTGTTTAGAAAAGAAAATAACTAAGTTAAAAATCATAAAAAGGGTCAAAGTAATCCTTACCTCAAAGACAAGAACCAAGAAGAACAAGAGTTGAAACTTGACGAAGTCGAAAACGAACTTTGCTCTTATCAAAACGAAGCTCTAGGTGAGCTCTACCTTTTTATCAAAGGGACTATGGTGTAGAAATCAACGGATTAAGATATATTTGAGGTTTAGAGATGGTTTTCTAGAGAGAGAGTAAGTAGATCTAGGTTTTGGAGTGTTTTAAAGAGAGAGAGATGAGAAAGTGACTCAAAAGTGACCTCCTTTAAACTGATATATGCATAGATCGCTCAAGCGTAGAAATGGTTGCTCGAGCGACCAGACACAAAGAAGACACCGCTCAAGCGCAAGAATGATCGCTCGAGTGCACAATGCATCCATCTAGTAGTTCAGACCTGCAAAAGTTCCCTCAAGCGCAAGAAGCATCGCTCGAGTATAGATATCAAGCTCTTAGTAGTTTGCAGACTGTAAAAGATAGCTCGAACGCAAGAAGCGTCGCTCGAGCGAACAAGTAGAATTTTGGGCAATCAACTCTTTGAAAAACTAACCTCCAACCTATTTTAAACTCAACCAAAACTTCCAATAACCAAACCCAACAAACAATATGATGAAAAAAAATTGAACAACCAATAAGATAAGGGAATTTCGGATCCAAAACAATAAATGGATTGGGTCCAAACTAGAGTCATTATAGTGAGGCCATGATTTTAAGCCAAACCTATGTAATACAAAAGTTATATATATACATATAATATTGTATATATAGAAATCATAAATACATGCACATAATAGAGCTTCAATAAAAAAGAATTTCTTCTACAAAGAATTAAAGAGCTTCAAATTGAAACAAATAAAAACATGCACATAATAGTTCTTCAACAATTAAAGAGAATTTCTTTTGCAAAATCTAATTTCAACAAATATATAAATAGACACACAAAATATACGTATACATATATGCCTATGGTTGCAACCTTATTGACCATTGTAAACCCAAAATCAATACCCTCATGCACCACTGCATCTCATTCCTTACATATACAACCAATCACTAATCCAGACCCTATACACCCAAACCCAAAATCAATCAACCATTTTCCAACATTCTAAAAAAAAAATGATAATTAGGCGAGAGAGAATAGAGAGAGATCAAATGAGAGAGAAGAAAGAAGCTCTCTAAAATTAGGTATTGGATTGGAATTTAGCCTTGATCAAGCTCTACGATAGGTTGCTCGTTGGCCAGTTACGAAGGTTTTTCTTATTGGATTTGCCTTACGATTCCCCTTCTGTCTATTGTAGTAATCACTATTGTACCATCTTCCACCACCGATGCAGCCCAATCCAGACCTAACGGTGATGAATAGTTGCTACATAGGTGGATCGACAAACAAGAGTAGCGGAAGTGGACAAGGGCTATGGAGGCAGTGGCCATTGACGGTAGTAGTGATCTTTGACGACAATTGATGGTGGTGTTATCTCCTTTTCTATCTTTTCTTTCTCTGTTTTTTTTTTTGTTACATCTATCTTTTGTTTCGCATATCTTCTTTTTCATCTCATCTATTTTATTTAAGATACAAAATCAAATTATAAATAGAGTGTGGGTATTATAGTAATTTTATCATTGCAATTAATGGTGTTAATTGACAAGGGGTGGCAGTGTGATTTCAGATTTCAGTGTGATTTCAAAGAAATTGAGGGGGTGTCAATGTAATTTACCTTATAATTCATGAATTCTTTAATTATACCTCATGTTGTATTTAGTTATGATTTTTTTTAGTTATGACTTAGAAAATATGAAATTATGTCATTTTTTTTAGTTATAAGGTGTATATAGTAAACACATTTATAGAGCATGTGCCATAGTGTTTCTCTTAATATTAGTAAGATATCTAATTGTTTATGATACTCTCTCAGCCCCAAAATAATAGTTATTTTGGGGAATCTAACTTTTTTTTGGTAGTATAATTATTGCATTTTAAAAAATTGATTTTCCAAAATTATCTTTTGATAATACATTTTTTTGAGAAATATCAATTGTCATAATTGTACCTTTTGTGTTGTTAATAAATTTAAAAAAAGTGTAAAACAGGAAATTCATATTATTTTAGTTCTTGATTTTTGAAAATGGACTAATATTTTGGAACAATAAAAAATCGAATAAGGAACTAATATGTAACAAATTATTTATATGTATATATAAACGGTCTAGTTTGGTTCCAAATCAGATTCTTAACTATAAAGTCATGGATCGAACCATTAAGTACGATTTGTCAATTTTAAAAATTAAGCTCAAATTGTACATTGAGAAAATCAAACCAAATCGTGTCATTGATCTGGATAAAATCGGTTAGCAATTTTCTTATGGAAAGGGTTGAGATGCCATTTTTTCTTGAGTCCCACCACTCCCAATGTATTGCGATTGTCAAACTTTTTACTTTTTGTTTTTTTTTTTCCTTCCATCACTCACTGACATGTGTCTATGGAGATTGTGGGAGTCAAAGAAAAACGGGGTCCATATCATTTCTTTTTTTTTTATTTTATTTTTCATGCTTAACTCTAATTTATGCACAAATAATTACAAAATAAATTTAAAAATTAAATTTATGACACAAGGACCTTATTTATAAACGGTAATGTGGTACCTATAACATTTTTCTTTATCTATATATATATATATTGAGGAAAATGAGATTTCTAACCTGCAAGTCTTGTAGGAGTTCTAATATCTCAATCTGAATTTTTTTAATTTTTTATTTAAAAAAAAACCTTAGTATTTATTGATTTGGTCAAAATCTCCTGATTAACATTTATTAATTTTTTTCAATCCACATATCTTTCTATATGTCTGCATTTATTAATTTGGTCAAAATTTCTTGATCAGCATTTAAAATCTCCTCATACAAATAATTATAGATACAACTCGTACATAATTACTTTAATATCCTTTTTAACTTGTTCTATATATTATAATTAGTGATAAAATTATTAAATTATTTTTATAAAAAATTTTAAAAAACATAAATTATATATTAAAAAAATTTAAAAATAAATATAAATATTTATAATTATTTGTAAACAATTATTACAATATCTTTTTGTCATGGTTGTACTAGTGAACCCCACTAAAACTCATCAGTTACCTCCGTCATCACCACCCTGGAAAGCTACAAAACCACTTTATCGTGGCAACACCTGGAAGCCCAAATCTATCGATTTCTCCGTAAGATCAAAGATGGCACAATCGTTCTCCACAACCATTGCAAAACCAACTTCCATTTTCACTTCCACACCATCATCACCCTTGTGTACCCTTGTGTTTGTGGTTATCCTCTGCATTCTAGGACTCTATACCCTACAACATCACCACCGCCCAGAACCACAACCAGTGTCCAACTCCACACCAAAGCAATCATCATCCAAAAATGACTTCCGAGACATATTCCTCACCGCCGCTACCAACAACACCCTTTCCTCCTACCTCCGAGCCCTCACACTCCATCCCCACCTCGCCGGCACCCCACAGGCGGTCCAGACAGCCCTCTACGTCGAAACCCACTTCAGGGACCTAGGCCTCCAGACCCACGTCAAGCACTACAATGCCCTCCTCTCTTATCCTACGCACGCGTCCCTCTCTGCGCACTTTAGCGACGGCACCATCAAGGACGTGGCCTTGGCCGAACAGGGTGTGGCTGGAGACGACGACGTCGTGCGGCCTTACCACGCCTACTCGCCGTCCGGGTCGGCCTACGGCAGGGCTGTGTTCGTGAACTACGGGAGGGAGGAGGACTATCGGGCTCTGCTGGCGCAGGGGGTGAGCGTCTCAGGGTGCGTGGCGGTGGCGAGGAGGGGGGACTTGTCCAGGAACTCGGTGGTAGAGAAGGCGGCGGAGAAAGGGCTGGCGGCGGTGCTAATGTACGCCGAGACGGAGGGCTTTAGTGGCGGGGTGGAGAGGGGGACGGTGATGAAGGGTTTGGGGGACCCACTGACCCCTGGTTGGGCCAGTAGTAGTGTTGATGTTGATGTTGATGTTGATGGAGAGAGATTAGGGTTGGATGACAACGAGGTTGTGAGTAGATTTCCAAAAATACCCTCTATGCCGATATCAGCCGACTCGGCGGAGACCATTTTAAGGTCACTTGAGGGGGCCAGGGTGCCCTATGAATGGAGGGCTAACCTAAAGTCCAAGGTCGCAAGGGCTGGTCCTGGTCCTACCATGCTCAACTTCACTTATCAGGTTGGTTGGTACACAGATTCTCTTTTCCATACGCCGGCAGAGTTGGTAATTGTTATTTATTTATTTATTTATTTTGATCAGGGTAATTGCTATTATTATGACTTCTAATGTATTGGAGTTGTCTGTTTGTACTATTGTTATTAGAGTAATGGTAAGAATTTTAAAGGTTTTATCAATATTTTTATCAAGGTACTGTTATGGTGTGCAACCCTTAAGGTTGGTTGCACACCATATGCAACTAACAAGGGTGTAAGTGGAAGGTATAAACATAAAACAGGACAGCAAACAGAAAAGCGTAAGTGTAAGGCTTAAGTTGCACACTTAAGAACAGTTTTTTTATCAAATGTTTGTGGGACCCACATATGAGTATACACCCGAGCCCTTCGATAAAACTATTGATAAAACATATGGAGCTTTCAATCTACATTTGTGATTTTTTCAAAATATCTGAAAACATGATAAGATTTAACCCCTTTCAATTCTCTCAAACCTAAATTGTTTCAAATAATTGTCATGATGACACATGTAATGCTTGTTCACCATATAATTGGATTAAAATATGTCAAATTTGGTCAAATTCGACATATCTTTAATATTCAGGGAAATTACATAAAAGAAAGTTCAAAGTTTGACTTTAATAACACTCTGGTCTAGCTTGAGCGACTTTGATAACACATTGAGCCCTTGAGTTTTCTAATGTTTCAATTTAAACCTTTCTAATTTGGTCTCAATTTAAACTTTCTTTTTTGTTTAGACCACTAACGAAAAGGGGTAAAATTTGTCAATTTGCCCTTCAGTATACATATATTATATATAATACAGATTCAAAAATATTATTTACTATCAAAATTAATTATTAATTATTTGTTTAAGAGTTACTGTCAATTTGCCCATAGCATGAAATTGTGCTAGTATATATACATATACATATATGATACAGACACCATAAACCATCTTCTTCCTCCTCTTCCTCCTCCACCACCACCACCACCACCACCACCTGCAGATCCTCCACCAACTTCCCACTGCCACCCTTACAAACATAAGTCTACCTCCACCTTTCCACCAAAATCTCATTTTAATAGTTAATCCCTTCACTTCCACCAAAATCTCATTTTAATCCCTTCACTTTCAATTGTAACAGTTAATCCCCTACACTTTTTAGTTAAGTTGCAGTCTCACTATTCAATCCATCTACTATTAACAAAGTTGACGGAATTTGTCATTTGAAACATATGTGACATTTTTGTTTTTTCATTGGCACTCTTCCACTTTTACTAAAATCTTACTTTATTTCTTACACTTTCACAAAAATCTCACTTTAGTCGCTACTTTCAATTTCCGTTAGCTTTATCAACGGTAGATGGACGGAAGGGTGAGACTGAAACTTGACTTTAAGTGTAGGAGGTTGACTATTACAATTGAAAGTGAAGAGACTAAAGTAAGATTTTGTTGGAAGTGTAAGGGTACTGAGTGCAATTTACCCAACAAACTACCAATGAATCTAAGTAAGATCTAACAAAACAAGCAAATTAGAGATGAGATTTTGACGGTGGAAAAACCTCAATTGGAAGGCAAAAGCGTCTTCAGAATCCACCAAAAGGTCTTTAACAATTGCCTTTGGAATCTACCAAAGGTGTTTAAATTTGCCTTTAGAATCTACCAAGGATTTCATCAAGGAATGAATGATTTGATGATTGAAGACTTGGAGTTACTTGATCCATGCTCTATCATCCTCATATCTTCATACAAACTTGAGGCACTGAAAAATTATCTCTAGATGGATCTGGTCCATTTGGAACAATTTTGGTACATCAAGAAAGAGAAACCAAGTGCTTAGATTTGGAAATGATTGAGGTTTGCATTTTTATAACTAATTGTGCTGACCTTGATTTCACAAGCCGTCTCTTCACTGCTCTGGTGGTGAATGCATGCTCTTTGTATTTGGTAATAGACTCTGAGATCAAAAGATGTTTAGAATACCGTTGGATCACTGCTGGACCATTGGTCCAGCGGTTGATCTATCTATCTTGCTTCTTCACGTTGTTGAATCACGATGACTTTAATTCTCAGCTTAAGTCCATGGGAGGGATTCACACTCACAAATACAAGTACATGGACTATCTTACCATGTTAACAGGATTACAATATAAGCAACTGATTGTCAAACAGGATTGCCAAGTCTAAATCCTAACATCCATGCTTCATAGCTTTAGCCCCTTTTCACTCATGTTTCTTGTTTTCATATCCAATAACCTATAACATCTTACTATGTTAACATTGTAGGAGTGGAAATTCTTTTCGTATTTCTCTATTTTGTGGGTCTTGCGTACAAACGATCAAAATGCTTGAATGAATAACCGTTAGATTTGTGTATTATTTTCTCAAACATTTTGGTTTCTTGACAACATGATTTAAAGTTGATATATTTGAAGTCCTGCTGATTTGAAACTCTTCTACTAAATTAACCTATTAGACGATTGGTAAATGCCCCGCCCATAGGTTCGTTTGTCATTGGGGCTTACAATTCACCTCATGACTCATTCGTTTGGTCAAGTGTTCTCCTTACGTTGATCAATAAATTCAACACTGGAGTGAAGTGCAGGGCTTCCACATGTTTGACACCACGTGGCATGTCAATTTTTTAAAAAATATATATATTTTTTTTGCAAGGCACATTGGGGCACTTTATATACATGCGTTGTAACACCTCTAATGTTATTGCATGACTTATGCGTGTTTTGTTCCATGCTTAAATGCTTGAGTTGCATTAGTACTTTGATATTTGAAATACTTTGAATTGAAATATGTTTCGGTAGGAAATGAAATGAAATTTAACGTTGTGTTTGGTTTGGGGATTTGGAGAGGGATTTGGAAAGGGAAAGGGAAAGGGAAAAGGTGTGTGAAACTAAGGCCAAGTTTGGGTACTTTTAAAAAAGTCAAAAAGTCAAAAAGTTACTCAAAAAGTCAAATACCCCAACCAAGCACATCGTAAGGGTATGTAAAATCTAGAAAGTTTCCTTTTTGAACCTAGTATGCTCATGTGTGCTCATAATCCTTAATCAAGGTGCTTAATTATATTGGTCTAACGAACTAAACATTTTCATACATTATGTGAAAACTTAATTGATATTAGTGCTAATTAAACGTGATTAATGTAATTGATCCAGATTAATTAACCTTAAATATGATTAATTAAGTGTGATTAGTGGCCTAAATTTGATTAATTAGTACTAACACAGCTTAACTAGTGTTAATCTAGATTAATTAAGTTAGTGGTGCAATTAGTAGAGACAAGTAGGCACACCTCTCAATTGGTATTGCCACCTCCACCTTATATTTGATATATAACTATTACAGAGACAAGTGTCTCTTCAAGTAAATTAAATAAAAACAAAAGAAGAGAGAGAAAATCTACTGGAAAAAGAAAGAAAAGAAAGGAGAAAACAGAAGAGAAGAAGAAAAAGAAAGGGGAAAAACTTGGACTCTTGACCTAGAGTTGTTCTTAGCTTGAATTGAGGTAATATTCATGTTCTTACACCTAATTTTAACCTTTTGATCGGTTGATTTTTGTTTAGAGATGATATTTTTAGGGAAAAATCAAAGAACTTAAGTTTTCACACTTATATTAATTGAATTTAAGCTTTTGAGTTAGAAAACCCCTACTTATTACAGAATTATAATCTGACAGGTTGCAGTCTTTTGACCATATCTCCTAAAATATATGGAATTTTAATGTCAAATTGCTCTCACTAGAAACTAGACATGTGGAGCTACAATTTAGACTCAAATTTTGCCTAAATCCAAGTTCGTATGAAAGAGTTAATACTCATTTGAAAATGCCTTCTCTTTGCTGGAAATTAGTGCACAGACAATAATTTTGGGCCAACTTTGATTGAAAATCTGTATTAATTGGAAAATAAATAATTTGTGTGGCCTAAATCATTGGAAACATATGCGAGTTTAATTTCTAATGTACCAAACGGATCTTGGTTTCTAGTTTTCTAGTGAGAGATATAGTTGTTTCACTAAAAAGTGTCAACGCTGCCTGCACAATTCAAATTGCTCTAAAATGGTTTCAATATTATTTTTCTTCATTTAATTCAAGCTCAAATCACACACAAGTTAATCCTAAAATGTTTTAAGACATTAGTGAGGGCCTAACTGACATATTTGAATCTTAATACACCTTAAACAAGTTAATTTAAGAAAATGAAGTTCAATTGCTCTAATTTTATTGAAATGGATTATCAACCAACGTGCATTGCATTATATGGTGTAGGTTAATTATATTTGGTTCTGACACTTAGAAAGACTTGAGGTGAATAGTATTCCTTTAAAGTTAATTTGAACTTCTATTTTGAATGCTTAAAACTTTGTTTGATCCATTGTATTGAAATGTCCTAAACTAATGGACATCCTATGATTATGTTGAAGTGAATATATACATGGTATCCTTGTTTAGTCCTGGCTATTAGGAGACAGAAAATATACTAGTCGCAGTTGTTTGAGATCAGTGGGTTTGTCTAACTGGAGTCGACCTGGTTATTCCATTTGTTAGTACCGATCTAGATGTTCATTATCATTGTTTTGAAATGAACTGTACATGACTATTTTATTCTCAAACTGCTTAAGCTCTCAATTTAACTATGTTTTTATCGTACGAATGCTGATATCCATTATTTTACACCTTTGTGAATCTCTCGAACTTCGGTTACTCTCAAAAACTACTTGAGGGGACTAACCCGAGGGGAAAGAAGATTGCATTTGTCTCAACCAAACTGTACGCGAGAGCAATATTCAATGTGGTCCCTAAAGGCCATGTGACAACTTTATATATGTTTGCTTGGCCCCCAAGCTGGTCTAAGTGCCTATAAATAGGCACCCATATTTCAAAAGCCCTAATTCATGCTTGAGTAAGGATATTCACCAAGAGTGGGGGGTAGTGGTGCTTAAGGATATTCTACCATTCTCTCTCTTCTCTGTTTGCCTTGCTTTCATCCAACAATATCTCTCTCACCATCTCCATCTTCATCTTCTTGTACCAATCATTCACCAGTTTCACCTCACCATTTCATTACCTTCCATTATTACACTTTCTCCATTTGAACCCCTACAGGAGCGTTGGTGCTCCTTAGATATTTTGTCATACGCAGGTGGGTGCGGGATAAAGGATTTGTTAATTAGTTGTATAAACTTTGGCAAATCTTAGGAACATGGTGATTAAAGTCCAAAATTGCTAGACTTCACCCACTAGGCCTAGTTGTGCATGTCATGACTTTGTTAGTTAATTACGACTTCAGTACCTTTTTGTTGGATTTATTTGTTGCTAATCCAACCATTGGATTAAATGTAATTCCCATCCTTATCATGCATGCTGAAAACTAAATCAATTGGAAATTCATAACTAATCCATGAATCCTATGTTTAAGTTAGTATTTTATTTAGAGAAATGTGAGGTCATGCATTATACACTTGCATACATCCAATCAATTTGATATTTGACATGAATGATAACCACGATAAATGTATTTAATAATGTTTGGTCAAAATCAAACAAAAAATTATTGACGTATAAGAATTGTACCCTAGATCTAAGTTGAAATTCCTCCTATATATGTATGTAAGGTGTAATTATTAGATTCTTTACATACCCACTTTACAAATTGGTGATGGGGATCAGGAGAGAGGGTTGCGCACTTATTTTAGGCGCAGGAGGCATTAGTTTAGGAATTTTAGTTTTATTAAAAATCTGTTTCTTTGTTGGATTATTTTTAGTTATTTATTTTATTTTATTTTATTTTCTCTATACATAGAGTGAATGGCTGGTGCAGCTGGCAAAGCGCTGGACCTCAAGAGGTCATCCAGCTCAATGATCTCGGTTCAACCCTTGGGATCCCTTTCTTCCTTCACCTCCCAGTGCCCCTCCCCCAAACCAAAGAGAGAGAGAGAGAGTAGCTATATATACATAATCTCTCACACCAAAGAAGAAGAAAAGAGAGTGCTATATATATACAGGCTGTATATTGGAGAAACAAATGTTTTGCATAATTGAAATTGATCATTTTGGTTTAAACATATGTGCAGAATTCCCCCTCTTCTCTCTTCTTCTTGCTTAATCTTTCTTCTTCACCTTGGTTTTACACCAGTTAGTTTTAGTGGAAAATTCACCCATAAATTTACTCTTCATTCTTTACTAATAAAGTGAGAGGTACATGTGTAGTTTAGTTTCCTTCCCCTGTTCTTGACAACAGTTACCCTTTTGTTCATACTCTTTTTCTTTTTTCTTTTTTTTACAAGTTACCCTTCTCTTTGCACTCTTCTATTTCTATGTCTTTTGCCTTTTGTTTCTCTGTTCCCCATTTGTTTTTTGGCAAATAGTTTGTGAATTCCTGTCCTTTTTTTTTTTTTTTTTGGCGGGGAACCCTGCTCCACACATCACACTTCCTAGGTAAATGTCGGATATATGCCCGCAAGACACAAATATCAAACGGAGTGAAACACCTAGCAAGAGTCTCCCTCTCTCATGCAGGCCACAAGAAGATCAAGAAAGGGTATTTAAATAAACAATAAAGTTTGGAATTTGCTTAGTTTCAAGCCAAATCCACTTGAGGCCAATTGAAATAATGCACATAGTCAACTTATTAGTCTGAGTAGGGTTTTATTTGTGTTTTTTTAGGTCAAATATGTTGTTGATCCATTTTAAATATTTTTTCTTCAAGTTTATAGATCAGCTGTATTTTGGTAATTGGAAAAATTTCTGAACATGGGCTGTAGGGTAGTCACATTATTTACTTTATGTAATTGGGTTTTTATTTAGGGGCCTTATTTGGTTTTAATTTGGTTTTCAAAATTTAATGTCTCAATTTCCAAGTAGGAAGTCAAAATCATAAGATAGGGAGCTCTCTAAACTCTACATAAAACCATGTAATATTTCTAGTTCAAAAGAGTAGAGTTCTAGAGAATTTATGAAGCTTTTTAAGCTCTATTATTGTGAGATGACTTATGAAATGCATTGGCAAGTCTCTTTCCTTAATTTATTTATTTAATGTTCTAAATTTTTTTGGGGGCACGGGGGCACTTTTAGCATCTAAATCCACAAAACCAGAACTGTATAAATCATTATTCAACACTTGAGCATCATAGTTTCTCAATCCTAGCACCTGAGCATTTTAAAAGAATAGGTCCCAAAATCTTTTCCTTCCATTACTCTTTCATTACTCCATATAAGCCTTAGAATACTGAATATTTTTATCATCTTTTTTCGTTACAAAACTCAAGTAAAATAAGCCAAATGGCCTTCTTTTTTCCGTGTCAATAGTTTTGGGCTCACTACTTGGAGAGTGTACGCCTCTCTCTCTCCCTCTCTCTCTCTCTCCATTTATATTTTTTGTGTATGGAGAAAATAGATTTTGATTTGTGGTGATTCGAACATAAATTGTTGTTCTTCTTTGGGTACCAGTGGAGAGGTGTAAAGTATGAAAATGAGAAGAGAGTGATTATGAGGTAAAAAGAGCAGTCATACCTGACCGTTACAAAGGAGGTAATTGGGTGCTTCTGTCCATGCAGCCTAAATCCACATGTTGGATAACAAAACCATATACATAAACTAAGACAATTTAACTTTTTTCCTGGTTTCCTGTGCAATGAATAATTGGTTACTAGTATTCGTCTTTTTCCATCTTTTTCTTTCTGTTAGGTGTTGTTCTAAAATACCATAGCAATATATTGTTTTTTTAAGGCCTCATGATCATAGTTTATTCACTTAAGTTGGAATCAGATTTTTCTGTTGATAAATTTACACATGTATCAATGATATTTGTATTTTGTTGTTACAAAGCATTATCTTTTAGATATGTGGCTATCTCGGGAAAACTGCATTGACCTCCCCTGAGGTTTGGAAAAAATACTGTAAGCTCCACAGTTTTAAGATAATTACACTGATCTCATTTTTAGTGAGGTTAAATGATCGAAAGCAATGCAGATGGAGCGAAAACACAAAAATAAACAACGCAAAGTATACATTTTCATGTAAAAGTGAGGATAACAACATTTTTCATCCATATAACTAACAAATTATTGATGAAAAGGGGGCTATGTGTTATATGAGTTCAAATCTCAAAGGATCTCAATGTAATTATGTCAAAATTGTGGGGCTTACTATATTTTTTCCAAACCTCAAGGGAGGTTAGTGTTATTTGCCCATTTAAATTTTACTTTGATTCAGATTAGTGTTGCATGTTTCATAATAGATAAGTTTGTTGTAGTCAACAATCATTCTTTACCCATGATCTCATGGTTGAGCCCATTTAAGTGTTCAACAATATTCTTCAGATATGTGTTTGGTACATGCTTATAATTTGTGAGTGAACTATAATATGGCAGTGTGTAAATATAGATGTTTAATTGCTGTATTTCTCATCACCATCATTTGAAAGCCTTAGCTTTTCACGACATTTTGGATTACAAAGTATGAATGAAGTTGTAGATGTCAAAATAGATTTGAAGTCTTGTTACAGCCGTTTACCATATAAAAATCCTAGTTCATTTTTTAATTTTTTTCTTACAGTTATTTTATTTTATTTGTTTGTGTTATTCGTGCTGTTAATTGTACGGAAAATCTCAAATTTATTATAGCATGGTAGTATTTACTTTCACAGCCATTGATGCCGTTGAAATGTCTGGAACAGCAAAATAGTTTTTTTGGCAGTTCAATTGAGAAACTGAGTTGACTGGTTGATCGAGATGCGTTCGCCTTTGTGATATGCAATTACTCAAAACATATTATTTAAGCGTTCCTTGGAAAAATCTGTCATAGTTGACATTGTTAAAGCATTATGGTGGCCCTTCACTATTATTTCTGTTTACAACAATTAGAAAGATCCACATAACGGCGTGCAAATTAATTAGATTGGTGTCATGTGCAATGCATATAAATGTTGCCTCACCATATTATCTCTATTGTATTGCCAATTCCCTATTTCATTTTTTATCCTATGGTTTTAAAATCCACAAAATTATTTGAACTTGGTGTGTTTTTTGATTGGAAAACATTCTTTTGTTTCTTCTCTTTTCAGGGTGTGAAAAAGATGGCAACAATTCATAATGTTTTTGCCATCATAAGAGGATCAGAAGAGCCTGATCGCTTTGTATTGCTTGGCAACCACAGAGATGCATGGACTTATGGGTCTGTTGACCCCAATAGTGGAACTGCAGCGTTACTTGACATTGCTCGTCGATATGCTCTTCTTCTGCGCTTGGGGTGGAATCCTCGAAGATCAATTGTTCTCTGCAGTTGGGATGCAGAAGAGTTTGGGATGGTAGGTAATGTTCTATCTCAGTCTGTCACCAGCTGTGCCATGGCATCTGGTGATAGGATCAGGAGGTCACTCTCTGAATCCTCAATTGAAAGTTTTGGAAGTTGGAAGATGAATTCAACTGTCTAGGATAACACTATTATTAATCTATGATGCTATATGTATGAAATGTCAGAAGTATTTGTGCATGCTATATTCTGTTGACAAAAAAGCATCTTGTGAGAACACTCCTAATTTTATATGGTATATTAAGATGAGTGAATACCAGACCCTTCATGGGATGAGAGAACCTATGTGGTTAATTCTCTATTGAATGTTTGCATTTGCCTTCCTGTTTCACATTGTTAGAGGAGACGATGCTACTGTTAGGCCTTTTTGGGGGTAGCATTTGGTTTGGGGTTTGGCTGAGGTGTATTATATTTTCATGATTCTATCAATAGCAAAAACTTTGAAAGTTTCTGATGGGAATGTGATTAAATGCTAATATTTGTGCATGCTATATTCTGTTGACAAAAGAGAATCTTGTGAACACAGTCCTAATTCCATATGGCATATTAAGATGAGTGAATACCAGACCCTGCACGGGATGAGAGAACCTTTGTGATTCATTCTCTATTGAATGGTTGCATTTGCCTTCCTGTTTCGCATTGTTAGAGGAGACCATGCTACTGTTAAGCTTTTGGGGGGTTGTGTTTGGTTTGGGCTTTGTCTGAGATGTGTTATATTTTCATGATTCTATCAATAACAAAAACTCTCAAAGTTTCTGAATTTATTATCTCTCAATATTCATTCATTCAACAGTAAGTTTCTTCCATGCATAATTCCATATGTATATACCATAACCAAATAAGGAATTGAAAGAAAAACAAGAAATAAATAAAATGGAAACAAATCCTAAGATGAAATCTTCTTGCTCCTAACATATGTCTTCAAGCCTTTCCTTTCCTTTCCTGATCCCCATCAACTTGTCGATTGATTTATCCTAAAAAAAAAAAAAAGAAAAAGAGGAAAAAGGAGACACTGCTATTGCAAGTGTGCATCCATACCAGTAAGAAAATGTCCTAATAGCTCACCTGATTTGTGTTGTTAGGCAATGACATAGCTCGTCTGATTTGTGTTGTTAGGCAATGACATAGCTCGTCTGATTTGTGTTGTTAGGCAATGACATAGCTCGTCTGATTTGTGTTGTTAGGCAATGACATAGCTCGTCTGATTTGTGTTGTTAGGCAATGACATAGCTCGTCTGATTTGTGTTGTTAGGCAATGACAACAAACCTGTTGTTATCATGGTAAGACAGAGAGTGGTGACATGTCTGGACACTGCAATCATCTAGATTAAAACGATGGTCTGCAGTTAATCCCACCTTTGGTTGTTAGATTCTGTGTATGTTAACAGTTAACACCCCCTCTTCCCCAGTGGGCTTCCATTTCCCTTTTGTTTAGAGTTGTATATGACCTCTTTTTGTCATTGTTTCTTAAAGATCTATGTTCTAATGCTCAAAATAGTTCCACTTTTAGTATTTTTTTTCTTTTAATTCTCAAAATTGATCTCATGTATTGTTGGTCTTGTGGTTTCAGATTGGATCTACAGAATGGGTTGAGCAAAACCTTGTGAATCTGGGATCTAAAGCTGTAGCCTACCTTAATGTGGATTGTGCAGTTCAAGGTCCTGGCTTCTTTGCTGGTGCAACTCCTCAGTTAGACAATCTCCTTGTTGAGGTCACAAAGAAGGTGGATCACGTAACTATTGATCATAGTAAAAGGACAAATATATCAAAATGTTCTGTGATCAATTTGATGATGGTACCTGGTATTTGACATGTGTCTCAATTGCGTTTTTTTTTTTTAATAACTAATTCAGGTTAAAGATCCTGACTCGGAGGACGTGTCACTGTATGAGAGGTGGACAACTACTAACAAAAGAGTCAATGTAAGTTCACCATAATCTCTGCCTCTTTGACTGATTGAAAGGCACACATTAGCTGAAAGAAAAATACCCAAAAAGAAAATTAGAATGGTTTATTTTCTTGAGGGTACAAGTGTTTTTCAAATGCTCCAAGAAAATGATATGATTGTCACTGTTTCTTTTCTGGGTATAGACTAATTCAGATGAGTTCATTTTTCTGCATCCTAAAATTTCTCTAGGATTCCAGTTAGTTATACTGTTTCCATTGTTTTGTATGCTCTTAGTGTAGCTCCATCTTGTTGTCATCTGTGTGTGCGCGGGCGCATGCGAGTGCATGGGTGCACGTGGAGAACGTATATATCATTTGAAGATAACAATTCCTTCTCCATTTTATTAATAGCTCATGGAATGAGTTGTGTAGTATGTGTGGAATTTTAGTTTATTTAGGAGTCCAATAATCTCTATGCTTATGGGAGAATACCAAACCAAACTAAGCCCAGTGTCCCACTCAAGTAAGGTAGGCTACATGAATTCTTTTTGTTCCATTTTTCGCTATCAAAGATTATATGCTCAATTAAATTATTATTTATTATTTATTTATTTTTAAACTATCACATCCCGTGTTAGTTTAGGTCTTTCCCTCTCCAAACATTTTCATTCATAGTGAACATATCACTATTCTTTATAAAAGATTAAGAGCATATATTAATTTTAGGAGGGGCAAATTGAAGAACTTTTCTAAAGTTATAGGTAAATAAATAATTACCAAAATTTGAGACCTTCTGAACCCATGGTAGATCCGCTAGCGACCATGGGATATCATTTTGAATGTGTGTAGTTAATTCATTCATGATTAAGGTAAATATAACGACTTCATGGGACCTATTGTAGGTGATCTAATTTAGTCACAACTCCATCATTCATATATTTTATCACATCAATGTACCCTTTGGTCACACTTTTTTTCTCCAACACCCACCGTCTTATATCTCTAGGTTTTTCTAAATCTATAAAAACTATTTGTAGATCCCTTCTTTTTTCTCTGTACTTTTCTATTAATTTTCTTAGTAAATAAATTGCAGAAAATAGGAATTTAATATAATTAAGAACAATGATTTTTTAGGATTTATTGTTTAATTATGATTTAATTATTGTAGTTTTATTTTTGATAACTTTTTAATTAGGGTTTCTTAGAAGGCTTGTAGGTGTTTTTGTAATGGATTTATAAGACTTGACTTGATATTAAAGCATAACAATGAATTGAGAGTTTTTGTTGGATATTGTTTAGTTTCTTTAGCTTTTCATTGATTTTTTTATTTTATTTTAACTGCTTGGTTTGTTCCTATGTTATGGATCGTTCCAGTACATGGAACAAGAATATGGTACACCACATGTTCTAAATGTGGTACGATAGGGGTAGACTTGTATAGTTTACACTACAAGAATTTAAGGTGCTTCACGCTAGCATAATTTTGTTTTTGTTTTTGTTTGTTTGTTTGTTTGTTTGTTTGTTTGTTTGTTTTTTCAAATGAATCATGTGGCAATACATTTGTACAAGCATTATGACCCATTTGTAACCTTTTGTTATGTCAAAACTTCACTCACTTTAGATTTTAGTTCATCATATTTGATTTTATTTTTTTCACTCCTAAGGCAACTTTAAGGAAATATATTGGAAAATGTTTTTGGGATCGCTAAGTTTACCGTTTTAAAACGATTGTGTACCATATCCGCAGAACATGCATTCCAAAAATTAATTTGTTAGGGTGTCAGAATTTTTCTGTAGCATTACTTTGTTCTAGTCTTGCATCACCCCTTCTATTAGTGGCATGTTTAATGAACTATTGCGGCATGTGTAGGTTGGTAATAAGGTTATTCTGCTATCATCTACAATCTAGGAAGCACTCATATGAACACACAGACACGGACATGGCCCATGGGACATGGTGTGGATACATATTTTTATTTGCTATTTATTTAAATATTGCACCAATAAACAACCAAAAATAATAAACTATTAGATTGCAAAAGTGTCAAAAGCATTTAAAATAATAATGAATACATCATCTTTCAAAAATAAACAATAGAAAGTTAAACTTGTCCTAGGGCATGTATAGAGCCAGTACATACGTTGAGATGTTTCCCCAATGTGTTCAACAAGAAAAATAACAATAAAAAATTTGACAAGCCATGTGTTGTGTTGTGTCCAATACGTGTCCGATGTGACATTGACATGACTTCTAGAGATGTGTTTGTGCTTCATAGTATACAATGATAAATGCCTATCTTGATTAGTGATGACCTTATGTGTCTGGTATTTTATTTTCAAGTTTGGGAGCCTCATTTGCAGTGTCAAAATTTTTGATGTTTTAAGGGAGAAAAGCTGAAACGATGGGGAAGGAGAGATGGGGAAATTCTCAGTGATACCGTTTTAGCATTTGTGGCAGGATGAAGTCATCCTTGGAAGAGTGTTAGGAGATCAGGGATTCCCACAAATGTGGCTTATTTTATTTTAGTTTCTTAGTGGTTTCATTATTATTTTAAATTAATTTGGATTGCAATATTGAATTTGATTCTTACAAGACAATTTGGGAAGAAGGGATTGGGTTATTCTTAACTTCTTTCACTGTGATGTGGCTCAAGATTTGCAGAGCTTTCTCCTTTCAATGTTTGGGTTAATTGGGTTATGTTGGCCAGAGTGTTTCAACTCAATGAGAGTTGGTCTCATGGGTGTTCTTTGAAGAAAGTGTGGAAGGATTAAAGGGTGGTACCCATGTGTTTGATGTTGTGTATTTGGAGGGGAAGGAATTGGTGTTCTTCTGACGATGTACAGACAGTGGTGTGTAGGATTAAGTTATCTGTACATTGTTTTATAATTTTTTGCTTATAGAAAAGTTGTGACTCTTGTTCTGGTAAAAAATTTGGGAGAGCTTAATTTTTAGGATTGGCTATAGTTTTGAGTTATAAGGGTAAATTACACTTTGCCCTTTTATGTTTGACCATTTTCTCACTTTGGCCCTTAAAGATTATTTTTTGCCACTTTGGCTCTTCGTGTTTCAAGTTTTTTCTAATTTACTTCAGATGTTAACTTATGTCTAAAATTAGTCAAAAAATGACACATTGACAACCATGTGACATAAAAATATTTTATTATATATAACTCACACCGCTGACACAAATCCAAAACTCAATATAATAATATATTTTTTATATTATGTGGCAGTTAATGTGGCATTTTCTGTCTAATTCTAGGGAAAACTTGAAGCATGAAGGGCCAAGTGAGAAAATGATCAAACATAAAGGGGGCAAAGTGTAATTTACCCTTTTTAATTTTATTATTATTTTATTTTATCTGTGGTCCTTGTGTATATGTATATGTCTACCGGACATGGGTGGCACCCCTTTTGGCATCTTTTTGATGTTGCATTTATACTTTACATCTATACATGTCATAATAAAAATAATGTCTCTTTTTCATTTTTGGAGGGGTTGATGTCGTTTTAGATGATATGGAAGGACATTGTGCAACTATTCGTCTCTTTTCGTCATGGACTAACAATAGTTTCTTTCATTATTTTTTTAGATAAGTAAAATAATTTTATAGAAGGCGCTGAAATCGGCGCATCCTGTTGTAATATGAGTGGGTTTCTGTCAGTTATTAAAGTAGTGTTTTTTTTAACTTCTTAGACTTTTGATTGACTAATGGAGACTCTTCCCTCAAAATTAACCTTATCAATCATATTGTTAATTTGTTTTCCTTCCTTTCTTTCCTTAAAAGATATAGATTTTTCTTTTAAATTTTTTTTTAAGGTGGCTGTGGAGCCAAGTTTCTAGCTGATTAAGATCAGCTTGGTGGATAAAGGATCAACCTTGAGCCAGACAGCCTAAAAAACTTTTAAATAAAACCTCCACCCCAGTTTGGCTCATATGTTTAACCAAAGCCATTTTTGCATTGGTAGTCTTCACCATCATACCTCTTATGGTCCCTTTGATCAGCATAATGTCACCAATTTGTGCAACCATTATCAAGCAACTGTAATGGTTGTTGCTGCTACCTTGATTATTTTTGGGGAAATTACATGCAGGTAGGAGAAGGGGGAAAAAATTATTAACACATGGGAGGTGCAAGTGTGTCTATGGTAGGATGCAAATGAAAGACTGTGGGGGTGCAAGCTCCATGTGTTAGTTATTTTTTTCCCCTTCTCCCACGTGCATGTAGTTCCCCCATTATTTTTAACATTGCATTTTATTGGAACCAGGATGCATAACTTCCTATTTTACTTGAAATGCAATTTTCTTCTAGATTTCTTCCAAAATAATTTCAAATTTTGATTTGCTTAATGAAAGATCAAATATATTTTAAACAGCTTAAATTGGTGCCAAATGTTTTCACTTATTTACTATCATCTCCTTTGAGGAGATGTGAACTATTTGGATTTTCGTACAATTCTTGAACATATATATCAAATAAAAATAAAATAAAGAATCATACAACTGTTGTGGATAAATTGCATTTTGAGATTGTTGGGTTGCAGATCCAGAGACTCAGTGGAGTAGATTCAGATTTTGCTCCGTTTTTGCAACATGCAGGGGTTCCTTCTATTGATTTATATTATGGCAGAGGTACGTTGTTCATACCAGCACACATTTGATGTCAATTTGTGTTGCATAAATCAACTATAGTCCAGCGTAGGTGCAGTTGCTATCTCTTACTCTCTCTATGTTTGTGCGCACATATAAGAGCTTTATAGGTGCATTTAAGATTATCATATTCTTGTTATATTTAGCTATCAAGGAGGGGAGAAAAAAAAAAACCTTCTTGCTATGTTTGTCTTAAATGATATAATTTTTGTATTCCTTTCAAACGCTCTAGTATGGGTCTAGGAAGCACGGATACGGATACAGATACGGATATGATACGCATACAACATACACAAAATCTGAAAAAGTAAGATACGGGTGCGGTGGGGATTTGTTTGTTAAAAAAAAATTATTTTTTTATAATTTTAATAATGTAATATGCATGAAAATAAAACTTGAAGCAAATTAATAAATAAAGAGAGGGATTCCTATTAAGTTAAGAGTCTTCAAACATTCATAAAACATCCAAAACTAAAAGGGAAAGCAAATTAAACATTAATCCTTACATGCCAATACCAAAAGCAAATTAAAAAAACTAGAGCCTTGCATGGAGACACTTTATTAGTCATGGTCTATATGTTCTTGTCGTGATCATATGAGCCTTGCATGCCAAATGAATTTTTGGTAAAAAGCACTCTTATTTTATTTATTTATCTAAATTTTGTTAGGTGGTGCTAATGTCATTTATAGTTTAACTATTCATTTTTATTCAGATTTTCCAGTCTATCACACCGCTTTTGACTCCTATAATTGGATGATAAAATATGGAGATCCATTATTTCAGCGTCATGTGGCAGGTAAGCTTCCTAATCCTTTAGTCCAATATTCATAAATATTTGGGAATATGATCAGGGCACTATTAAAACAACTATCCATTGCTTTTCTTTTTTATGTCACCTCAGTCACCGGAGTCTGGGGACTTCTTGCACTTCACCTGGCTGATGATGCAGTTCTGCCTTTAAACTACATCTCTTATGCTGCTCAATTGCTGGTATAAGTGTTGTCTCAAGTTTCCAACATCCATCATTGGTTGGATTTACTTTATTTGATGTTGATGCCTCATTATTTGCTACCAGGGAGAAGGAAAAACAAGAGAGTAAGGGAGGCAGAGAGTGTGCATTAATGTTTGATGAAATCTCATGTTGTAGCTGGTCAAATTTATAAAAAAAATTCTTATTCAAATTCTCTTGCTTGATTTAAAGGACTGAATTTGATCAACTTTTTTGGTTTCAATTTAATTTCTATATAGGAGTATACAAATATGTTGAGCAACTTGTTGGAAGGGAGTGCCTCCGTACATCCTATAACTGCATCCATCCAGGAACTTGCCACTGCAGCTAAAGAAGCCGAGGAGGAAGCAAAGGTTAGATACAAAGTTTCTATGATAAAAATTTAATACTTTGCAAAAATGGAAAAAGCTTCTCTTTAGTTACAAGTTTTATGACCTTTATACAAGTACATTAAGTGTCCAGTGAAGAAGCATGAATACGGACATGAGAAATGTATGCTTCATGGTATGTGTTGCAGATGCAGCAATTTGCAAAATCTGAGGACACGTACACGGTGACAAATAAATTTGTAGTTATTATATGGAAAGTATACAGATAGTTCAATTTCTATGTCTATGGTTATTATACGGAAAGAATAACAGATAGCTCAATTTTTATGTCTATATGTTGGGAAAGTTCTATTTTAATAAATCCTAGTACTTGCAAACAAATTGAAAGTTGTTATACAATTCCATGCTTCTTTTGATTGTAAAGTTATGTCCATACTTCAAATTTGTTTCATGTGTGTCCAAGAAACTTGTGTCAATTGTGAAAACTTAAAAGGGTAAATTACACTAACCTCACTTAAGATGTGGAGAAATTAGAGATAAGCCCACTTTTGACATAATTTCATTGTACACCCTCAACTGGTAACGCTGTTAAAGTACTTGAATTGACACTTTTACCCTTGGCAATCATATAAGTACTGAATATATTGGGGGTGTTTGGGAAGAAAAAAAATAGCCAAATTTAGGCTAAAAATCACAAAAATACAAAATAGGCTAAAATAGCTAATAAGACAAAATATCACATCAAACCCATAATCATTTTACTTTTTCTCTCACAAACATCACATCCAACCACAAAAAAATCCAATCATCTTCCCAAACACACAAATTTTAGCCTACTTAAAATAGACAAAAACTAAAATAGCCTACTAAAATAGCCACTTCCCAAACGAGGCCATTTTCTCTCAAAGCAATTGTCTTCTTCTATGTCTCGTCTCCTTGAAGTACAAGGTGCCTTCATTGTCAATGCTGCCCTACACCAGCCACCCTCTTTTCCAGCTCTACCAACACAACCATCCTTTCCCACTCCAGCGCCACCCACTCTTTCCCCCTCCAATGCCGTGACTGCCAGCTGCCTACCCACTTTCTTCTGCATCCATTCTTCCCCCTCCAGTAGTTCCTCTTCCAATTAAAAACCTGATTGGATAACCCAACCCAAAGCGGTATGTGTGATGGGGGTTGTGATCATGGGTTCAGTGGGTTTCTGATGGAGGGCTTGCTGGGTCTCTAATGGGGGTTTGTTGTGTGACATACGCAATGTAGTGGTCCTATGTTGTGTGTGGTTGTAGAGATTGATAATGGTGGTAAGTGCTGGTTGTGCTTTGCATCAGGGGATGTGGTCAAAACTCAAGACACACAGATAATGGCGGTATGCATTTGTGGAAACCTTGTAATTAACGACTATGTTACTTTTCAACAATGACCCACAGATTTAAAGCTTGCAATATGTTTCTTTCCTTAATAATCTTTTTCTTTTTTATTCTTTTTTATTTTTATTTTTTTGAACATGGCTGTGTATTCTATAATTTTTGTGATGGAGAGAGGAGGGAGAGGAAGATTGGAGAGGAGAGAGAGAGAACAAAATGGTATTTTGAAGATTGTTGTTATGATTGATTAAAGTTGTTGAAGATTGCAGATGTTTATTTGATATATTACGTGCTACTACTTAATGGTGTTATGATGACCATATCTATATATCACATTTTGTCTGACTTGTCACTATTATATTGGTTTAATGGGTCCTACCAGTATTACGTTATGTGATTGGTTGATTTTATTAAAGAAATGTGGTATATAAGTAGTGTCATTTTTATTTTTATTTTTATTTTTAGGAAAGAACAAATTAGGCATTTAATGAAATATATGCTATGATGTAACCAAAAACGGTTATTTTGTTAACAATTCTTTAAAGTTTGGATCAGTTTGATAGGTAATGCTGAATTTAAGGGAGGTCAATGTAGTTATGTAAAAAATGTGGGCTTATCTGTAATTTATCCATACCTTTGAGGAGGTCATTGTAATTTACCCAACTTAAAAAAAGTAATAGGATATGTTTGAAGTGGACCCTAGAAGGCATGTCTATGCTTAAAATAAATAAACTTGAAAAAATGTGAGTATTAAAAATAAATTCATAAAAATGACTGTTTGGAAAATTGTAAATCTAGTTAGTAAAATTTGTGAGGGGATGGGAGGGGAGGGCACTATAAATTACTTCCAACCTAAAGATCTATATTTTTCTACATTTGATATTTAAGAATTTATACAATTGATATCTTCTGAATTTTACTGAGCATCTGTGATCTTGATCTGAAGAAATTGAGAGGGGAAGAAACTCTGGGCAATGTTTTGGTGTTAAAGAAGCGTACATTAAATGATCGGCTGATGTCTGCTGAAAGAGGCTTCTTGGATGGAGAAGGGCTTCAAGGCAGGCAGTGGTTCAAGCATCTGGTGAGGGTTCAAGCATCTTTTACCTAGTATGCATGCTAAAAGCCTATTGCATTTTATAATCACTGGACTGGACTTTGTTTTGAACAATATTTAGGTTTAATTACTGTCATTTGTGTTTCTACTTTTACTTGGTACTAAGCTTCTATCAAATTGTTATTATTTTTCAGGGTATAACTAATTAAAAAGAAAAAAGAAATAGAGAGAACCTTTACTTTCTTGAAATCTTTTAAGCTCTGAAGGAGATATGTTGAATTTTCTTTGTGACCGCAGTCCATATCAATTTTTAGAGACATGCGAACTGATAAATTGTTTGGTAATTCAATATCATTCTTGCAGCTGTTGACTTAAATCACATTTTATTCAATGCAGGTTTATGGGCCCTCTTGTGACCATGAAAGTAAAATGCTTTTCTTCCCAGGAATATTTGATGCCATTTATCAGTCCAGAAGAATGACAAACAAGAGGCAAGGGCAGGCAGCAATTCAGCATGAGATTTGGAGGGTTGCAAGGGCCATTCAAAGAGCTGCCTATGCTTTGAGAGGTGAACTCACCTGAGAAGCAGAGGGGGGGAAAAACAGTGAGAGAATGTAGGATTTGTGTAAATATATGTCCACTATTTTGTTACTATGTATATTTTTTAGAACAATAAATTATATAGATTTTGCTACTACATTCTCTGCATATGAGCACCATTATTTTGTGCACAAGATAACTTGCAGATGCCTCAACAATTTTTATCCTATTACTAGGGGTGCAACTTGGGTGGATTCAACCTGACAAAAATTCAAAAGTTTAAATTAAATTTGAGCGTGCTTGGGTAAAGATATCAAACAACAGAGCAACTTGAAACCCGAATTATATATATAAATATATAAAAATATTGAATATACATATAAATTATTAACTATTAGATGATATTAAAGTAATTTAGATTGTTAGATCATATTTAATATATATTATATACACAAGTAACACAATACAAAATTTTATTTATTTATTTTTTCTCACTCAAATTGTAAAGACTATGAATCAATGTCAACCCACTTTGTCCTAGATGTTTTGAAACTGAGGAGACTCTTGAGCATCTTTGTTTTCCGTTCCCCTTTGCCAAACATATATGGAGAGGATCTATTTATAAAAAAATTATAAATAATCTAATTTTAATAAATTAATTAACTTAGTTGCAGTACAAAATTAGAATTTATATGTAATTCAAACAATTTGAGTTCAATTTGGGTTGGGCTAGGGCAGACAATCTTGGGTTATAATTCAGGCTTGGGCAGACCTAGGTAGCTTTTAGCACAATTTGAGTTAGGTTTGGACAACCTCGTAACTCACGCCGAACTCGCCCGAATTACACCCCTACTTTTTTTTTCTCACAATCATCAAATCAATTTCAAAAAAATTAACATTAAAAAACCAACTAAAATAATCAAGTTGCCAAACAAACCTTAAATATCAATCTTAGTGCTTGTTTGAGATGTGCTATATAAGTGCACTTTTTAACTAAAAAAGTAAAGAAAAAAAAAGATATATGTTTGGAATAACTTTTTGACTTTTTTATGAAAAGATACATATGACCATTCTACCCCTTTAATTTTTTGACTTTTAACTTTTTGACTTTTATATAGTTAAATTCAAGGGGTAAAATAATAATTTTACTCTCTCAGTTTTCTCCACAAGTTACCCTTAAATAGTATAGATTTTTTAACCTTTGTTTAATAATTTTTTTATTTTTTTAACTTTTATGGAATATCCCACACAAATTTTTAAACCTTTAAAAATACGAATTGGGTTGGTGAAGTGACTCGATCAATGCCTACCCCTATATAAATTCTTCTTTGGGCCAAAAGTCCAAATTTGAATTTCTTGTGGCCATATATTTTCACATTTACTTATTTCTACACACGCACTTAATAAAATTTTATTTTAATAACAATTGTGTATTAAAATAAAATTATTGTAATGGACGTCAAAACACATCTCTCGGGGCCGAATAAGTCCAATGGAATTGGAGGCCCAAAAGCTAGCCCACTTGGGAATAGGGCCGTTTATAAGTCGGCCCAATCCAAGAGCCCATTGTATAGGCGGTAGCCAATGTAAAGTGAGCTGAATAGAAGTGAGCTGGAGGGTTGACTTAGTCAAATATCTCATGGGTTGTGGGGGCCAACCATGAAGTTAGGATGTCTGAAAGAAAGAAATGGATCCAAGAGAACAATATAAAAGGAAGAGCCTCGATCAAAGGAAGGAATGTGAAAAATAGTAAATAACTTATAAGGAAAGTTAAAACTTAAGTAAAAGACTGACTTGTCCATTGGAGTGCTAATTTTAGCACCCCTGATCAGAGCGCTTGTTTCTCTTTCAGGTATTATCTCAAGGATCAGAAAAGGTTTGTTTGGGTCAGAGAGTGTTTCCAAATCCTTTTCATCGCACATCGATAACCAAATAGTTATCTCTCAATTTCAAAATTTAAAGCATAATAACAATGATATTAAAATCCAACAAGATAAAAAATCTGAAATCTTGATGATTTTTTCAAAATCTCAACGATTCCCAATAAACAGCATTCACACTCACTAAGAAGAGTCATATGAATCGTAGCATTTCAAAACTAATTTCCCAAAAAGTAATATAGTTTTCCACCAAACTCAATATTTCAAAAAGAGTGATCAATACCTATCATTTCCAAAGATTTCACAAATCTTTCCAACCAAATCTCTTTCCAAAAGCTTCAAAATCAAACTAGTTTTTATAGAAAAATTGGGTTTCTTTCTCAAAATATCATTTTCTTTAGTCACAAGTTAACCAAAAAAACATTTATTCACCAACAAGAAAAACTCAAGAGAAAAACCCCTTTTTATGCACTAATACATAACTTAGATCAAACCCTAGCTTTCTAAAATCATTTACTTCACAAAATAACACATATCAAAGTTAAAGAGCATACAAGACATCAAGAAAATCCGTATCTCAAAGCAAGAGGAAGAAATGGAGAAAATCTCCAAAAGTCGAAAGTAATGAAATCGAGATTTGCTTCGATTAGAACAAGTCATCGACAAGCTCTACACTTAGCAAGGTAAGAAAATGCTTCTAAGTGAGTAGATCTGAAGCTTGAAGTGAAAAAGCAAAGTTTAGAGAGATATGGTGGCTTCACGGTGGAGAAAAGAAAAAAAATAGAGAGAGAAAGAAAAAGTGAGGAAATAGAATGGGTTAAGGTTCTATTTATAGACCTACGTCAAGGGTGAAAAGTGATTCCAAGGTCAACCCAAAAGTTAGGTCAAAGCCCCAAAAAGAAAAAAATAAAAAATCTGAAAAACACACAAGTGTCAACACCAAGAGGAAGGGTGTCGACACTGTGAAGCAGTGTTGAAACACTAAAAAAGAAACAGACAGGGTGTCGACACCAGAAGGCCTTGGTGTCAACCCCAGAAAACAGAAGCAATACTAAGAACAAAGCAGCAAGGTAGTGTTGACACCAAGAAAAAGTGGTGTCGACCCCAGAAGCAGAACCCAACAAGAATGGAAAGAAGAATGGCAGGTGTTGAACCTCCTAGAGCATAGTGTAACCACTAGAATTGAAAAACTAAGTTCCCAATGAACTTTCCGACGAAACAAAACACGAGCGAACAATCCCAATAAGTCTAAACCGAATTGTATTCCTCTAAAACCAAGATACAATAACTCCAAAGACTCCAATAACAAAAAATAAATGAATTTAATACACTCTCCAATGACTTAAAGAACACAAGTGTCACATGCGGGCGTTCCCACTTTTTGAGAAAAATTTGAGAAAATTACATTGGTAAACAAGAAAAGAATTTTCAAGGAAAATGAGAATTTTTTTTTTTTTAATACCATGTAGTTGACTTCTTAACCTTACATGGTGATGTTGTGTAATGAACTAAACTTGGATTGATACCTTGTAGTTGTGCACCTTGTTCTTGGTTGAGTAATGGTGTAAATATGAATTTCTTGTTGTGTGCATGTGTATCTAGTTATTGGTAAACCAGTATCTTTGAGGCATGTTGAGCCGAAGAATCGTCCTTGTGGACCATATTTCGTGGATATAGTTCTTCTTCTTGGTGGAATTGATGGAGAGCCTTGTTGTGAGGGTGAAATTGTTCTTCAGTTGGAGTTATTGATCGACTAGTAATTGTTTCATGTTGTATGTATTGGAGGAGGAGTTGTGATTGAGTGAATGAGTAAGACCTTGCGATTTGATCCTAGTCTTGTAAACTGACAAGTCTTGTAGTTTGTTGAGATATCTGTGACTATACTTCTTCTTTTGTTTGACCAAACTCTCTTGGACCATAGTAGATAAGTTGAGAGTGACTCATCATATCTTGTTCATGTTTTCCTTTGTACTCAAGTGCCCTTAGGGCACTAAGAAGAGAAATCGGGATCTAGAAAGTTATTCCACGTGTTGGTTTGAAACTTTGAGTTGGCACTTGTCACCCTTTTGTTTTTTATTCCACTTTGAATCTTAGAGTAGCCTTAATTGCATTGTTAAACATTCATAGTGACTTAGTTTGGCCTTTTTGGAAGAGTTGTTTGTCTATTTGTTATTGCTCCATTCTAATCCTTTTTTTACTAAAAATTCGGGGGCAAAATTTCCTAAGATGGAGAGGTTGTGATGTCCCAGGTCACGGACCCGACTTAATGGTTAATTTTTGGACTTGTCATTTTGACTTTCGAAGTCTCAAGTAGCGTGCTTCATTAAATAAAAACTTTTTGACCTTATCCGTAATGCCACCCAAAAATGCAACATACCATCCAAAACGATACATAAATAGCATTATGGATCAGAGTATAATGTCATTCTATTACATGAGATTCAATTGTACAAAAGAGGTGACACATGAGATATACATTCATAAATAGAACACCATGAATCTATAACGTGTTACCAAACAGTCATAATGTAATAAAAGCTAAACATGTAATTATATGCCTTAAAGGCTTATATCTTTCCAAGTCAAGACTTGGTATATCAAAAGTGAGTCGTAAGTTCAATACAAATAAAGCCCTAGGCTTGTACAAACGTTAAATACAAAAATAACAAAACAAAACTGAGCCTTCAGCTCCACGGTCCTCCCAAACTAAGTCCTTGGAGGGGCATATCACCAGCACCTGAAAATGGTTTTCTCCAAATAGGGTGAGCCAAAGTCCACTAGAAATAATTTAACACAATATATGAATCTTAACAAAGATATGAGTGTGATATGCACATACAATGTCCGTAATAAAATCATTTGTAACTTTTTTGCAAAATCATATTATGTTGAACTTATATCTCGATCTATTTTATCTTCATTCACGAGTCATTTCCATTTCATTCAGACAACCAAACTGAGGATACAACTCAGTGGGTTTCTAACTAATACAGCCATCACACAAACACTTCTATTTGCCATTTTACGGATAGTTCGTCCGCCGGAATTGGCACCCATGTATACTCGTGGTTTTTGGGACTTTCACTCTGGACACTCCGGTCAACTTAATTCAATGGAGTACATCCCCTTTCTTCTCCCAAACATAAAGTACAACCCATTTCTTTTCTCAAACATCATACATTTACAATGTATTAAAGATGTGACAACACTCAATGCAAATGGATGAGAAATTAGTTTCAATTCACCTAATTCTCATGCAATTTCTACAACAATCATAGCTATCCTCCACCGATAGCCTAAAACAAATATTTCTA